AGCTGCCCCTACTGGGCCCTTGAGCAAGGCCCTTAACCCTCAACTGCTCAGCTCTATAAATGAGATAAATGTAAGTCGCTCTGGATAAGGGCGTCGGCCAAAAGCTATAAATGTAAATGAAAACATTCTACTAACAATACACTTTTCCCCACCGAGCAGGGCTGGGCGATATATCAATATAATATCGATATGGTAATAAATGATTATGCGATACACTTTTCGGAGATATCGTTGGTATGGTGACGATAACCTTCTTAGCTAACCTTCGTACCCACCTACCTACCCAACCCACATACCTACCTACCTGACCACCCAACCCAACCCACTCACCCACCTCACACACCTACCTAGCTAAACCCACCTGTCTACCCACCCACCTACCCAACCCACATACCTACCTACCTACCCACCCAACCCAACCCACTCACCCACCTACCCAACCCACACACCTACCTACCTACCCAACCCAACCCACACACCTACCTACTTAAACCCACCTGTCTACCCACCCACCTACCCAACCCACATACCTACCTACCTACCTACCCACCCAACCCAACCCACTCACCCACCTACCCAACCCACACACCTACCTACCTACCTACCCAACCCAACCCACACACCTACCTACCTAAACCCACCTGTCTACCCACCCACCTACCCAACCCACATACCTACCTACCTACCTACCCACCCAACCCACACACCTACCTACCCAACCCACACACCTACCTACCCAACCCAACCCACACACCTACCTACCTAAACCCACCTGTCTACCCACCCACCTACCCAACCCACATACCTACCTACCTACCTACCACCCAACCCAACCCACTCACCCACCTACCCAACCCACACACCTACCTACCTAACCCAACCCACACACCTACCTACCTAAACCCACCTGTCTACCCACCCACCTACCCAACCCACAACCTACCTACCTACCTACCCACCCAACCCAACCCACTCACCCACCTACCCAACCCACACACCTACCTACCTACCTACCTACCCACCTAGGCCCGTTTTTATTTCCTCTATTTTTTCTAAGAAACGTGTGATTTCACTTTCACATTCGCGAGTGTAACACTGAAGACTATGAAAAATGTATTAAATGTTGTTGTTTTGTTTTTAAATATTAATATTACATAGTGGTAAGTGTTAAGAGGCTGAATGTTCTGCAGTAACACACACGTTCACTCAGTTACACACAGTTACACGTTCCTTTAGTCTTACGTTTATAAACACGGACACGTTCGAACCCTGTTACAGTTACCGCGCTCGTAAAACGCGACTACAGTTACTTCAGTTTATAAATATCACTAAATACAGCGTTACACTCCACATTTGATCAGAAGGAGTATTCTAGTCCGGGTTACTGCGCTTCCTGTCTGTCTCAAGTCTGCCTGGAAGAAGAGAGAGGGATCTCTCAATGGGATCTTCCCGATTAAAGTTAAATCACGCTCCGTCTGACCGAGGCATACGCGTGGACTCACGCTCGTCTGGTGAGGTGTAACAGGGACGCGCTCGCTGTCGGGACGAGACTATAAAAAGGTTCTAAAAAGGTAGACGTGTCAATTTTTTTATTTTCCTTATACCAACTAACGTTTCGCCAACGAAAGACACGTCGCACTTTTTATCCGGTTGTAGTTACATCGAACAAGTTAGCTCGTGTTCTCGTTTACGTTGTAGCGGCGAGAAACAATCGTTTGCGCTCGGAAAGTACGGGGTCGATACCGAACGACACTTGGAGCGCTGATATCGACCGCGCGTCGAATGAAATAAGCGGGATTAGTGCGTTTACTTTCAGACAAGCCACGAGCGATCACGAGCGCGTTCCCGTCTCACGCCTGGATTAAACAGATGTGCAGATGTGTCTCTGCAGCTGTAGGTGTGCGTGAGCTCAGAACACACAACTAGAGAAACTGAAATGAATCAGAATCACGTTACCAAATGGTCACGCCAACGTCTCTGAAGCTGCTCAGCTGGAAAATCCACTTTCGTGACATTTGATCAGCTCAGGATTTTTGAAATCTGATTGGGAGCTGCTCCCATTTTGGACCCGTTAAGCGACAAACCAAAACTTCTCTACACTCTGTGACCAACCGCGCGTTATTCCTCGAGCGCTAGCAAGCTAATGTTAAGACGCTTAGCTACCTCTCTGGTTAATAATCATCAATACACACTTCATCTCAGCACAAAGATCCACCAAACTACACGCAGCAGTCATGTGAACCGCTGTGTGTCCAAGACGTAATACAAACTCGCACATGAACAATCACAGAGAGACACACACAGTCACAGGGAGACAGACATTCTGAGAGACACGGGCAGACACAGAGAGAGACACAGAGCCTCAGGCAGACACAGAGAGAGACACAGAGACACGGGCAGACACAGAGAGACAGACACAGGCAGACACCGAGAGAGACACAGGCAGACACAGAGAGACACAGGCAGACACAGAGAGACACAGGCAGACACCGAGAGAGACACAGGCAGACACCGAGAGACAGAGAGCCTCAGGCAGACACAGAGAGACCCAGGCAGACAGAGGGACACAGGCAGACACAGAGACACAGGGACACACAGACAGACCCAGAGAGAACCAGGCAGACACAGAGAGACAGACACAGGCAGACACCGAGAGAGACACAGGCAGACACAGAGACACACAGGCAGACACCGAGAGAGACACAGGCAGACACCGAGAGACAGAGAGCCTCAGGCAGACACAGAGAGACCCAGGCAGACAGAGGGACACAGGCAGACACAGAGACACAGGGACACACAGACAGACCCAGAGAGAACCAGGCAGACTCAGAGAGACCCAGGCAGACACAGAGAGACAGAGAGCCTCAGGCAGACACATAGAGCCTCAGGCAGACACAGAGAGACCCAGGCAGACAGAGAGACACAGGCAGACACAGAGACACAGGGACACACAGACAGACACAGAGAGACCCGGGCAGACACAGAGAGACACAGAGAGACCCAGGCAGACACAGAGACACAGGCAGGCACAGAGACCCAGGGACACAGGCAGACCCAGGGAGACCCAGAGAGACCCGGGCAGAACCAGAGAGACCCGGGCAGACACAGGGACATACAGACACAAACAGACACAGACAGACCGTTAGACAGACACTACATACATGTGTTGTCTCTCTCTCACAGATAGAAACATGCAGAGACACACAGACATACACACACACACACACACACACACACACACAAAGACACCCATCTCCCCCCCCCCCACACACACACACCCATCTACCCCCCCCACACACACACACACACACAGCTCCTCATGACATCACTGAGGTTAGTGTAGCCACTGTAGCTGCTTATGCACTTCACAGTATCTCCTAAAAACTCTAACTCTAACCTTATTTATACTCCTAATACACATTTTATTTTTAACTGCTTACATCCACTCAACAACAACAACAACATCATCATCATCATCATTAGCCTGTCCAGAGAAGTTAGCTAGCGAGCTGCTGAGCCGTGCAGCCAGATTAGCCAACATTACCGGTGTGTGATCTGCTAGCTAGTGTCTGATCATCAATAACGTCTTCTTTTAAATAAACAACAACAACAACAACAACAACAACAACAAGAGACAATGGAGTAACAAACTGAAGAGAACCGTCACGGTTAGTCAGCTGGAGTAACCTTTATGTGACATTTATTAACTAGAAAGATGGGAAGGGTAACTAGCTAAATATATCAATCAACATAAAAATAAATAGAAACATAAATATAGATATAAATAATAAATAATAAACAACATGCAAATTAAAGAGAGGTGTAGATGATAGATTTCCGGCATTTTATAATGGTTTCACAGATGATACATGCTTGGATAGAGTTAAAGCTGCGTTCTATTCAGACACCAGGGATAAACAAATAAATAAACAAAGAAAAAAATAAACAAACAAACAAATAAATAAAGAGGACAGTGGGGACACGGTTTCAGGATTAAACACTCATTTGTGGTGCTTTGTGTGTGTATGTATATATGAGTGTGTGTGTGTGTGTGTGTGTGTGTGTGTGTGTGTATACATGTACATGCATGTGTGTGTATGTATATATGTGAGAGTGTGTATGTATGTGTGTATGTATATATGTGAGAGTGTGTATGCATATGTAAGAGTGTGTATGTATATGTGAGAGTGTGTATGTATACATGTGTGTGTGTGTGTGTGTGTGTATATATGTGTGTGTGTATGTGAGTGTGTGTATATATGAGAGAGAGAGAGAGAGAGAGAGAGAGAGAGGCCGGCCGGCCGGCCACACCGAGGCCTGGTGGATGTCCACCCCGGTGTTGGTGTCTCTCACCTCGGTCGGTTGGCTGATCTCGAACAGGTCGAGCCGGTTCGCGTTCCAGTGGTTAATGATGTCGGCCAGCTTGCGCCGCTCCTCCTCTCGGTTCCCCGACATCTTCCTCTTTCTGTTCCACTCTCAATCCCGAATTATTCTCAACGATCCACAGATTTAATCCCGAGAGAAGCACAGAAACTGCGCGCTAGTAACGCGGTGTTGGAGCACAGGCGGTCTCCGGTGGACGCGCCTCTCTCTCTCTCTCTCTCTCTTTCTCCGTGTTCTCGTATCTCCTCCTCTTTCTCCCGTTTCCGCGTTTTTCTCTCTCTCGCTCTGCGCGCGCTCCCGTATCACAATGCCAGCCCTCGGCCGCGCGCCCGTTCTGCGATGATGTATTCCCGTTCTCCTGGAAGGACTCGCGCGCGCCCAGCGGAATCACGCAGAAACACAGAAGCTCACGCGACACGAAATTCGGGATTTTAAAGCAACAGTTACCTGAGACAGATAGATAGATGGATAGATACTGTGTGTGTGTGTGTGTGTGTGTGTGTGTGTGTATAGATGGGTGGATAGATACTGTATATATACATATATGTACATAGATAGATAGATAGATTCTGTGTGTATATATATATAATAGATAGATAGATAGATTCTGTGTGTGT